ATCTGACAGTTTAATTTTTAATGGGTATTTCTTCTTGAGAAAGGAACAGAAGATCGACTCTTTCAATTGAAGGCGTAAACATCAACTTTCACTTAATATCATTTGTACTGCCCTGTTAGTTCTATGACAAATTTCGTGTACAGGAATCAAAAATGGAGTGGAGAGTTAGCCGACTCACTGCAACTTTGTGTAAGAGAAGGAGGGAAGCCCGGGCGACTATGTGATATGCTACGACGACATATTCTATTTCAAGCTCTGTTTCAGTTCCATACTCTAACTCAGCCGAACACCGGTAAAACTTAAATTTAGCTTAACAGCGGAAAAAAACACGAAAAATTTATTAACTTTGAAAAAGGGAAAAAATTCTTCAGTTCAACATTTCTCGGGATGGGGTGTTTGACACAACAGGGTGGATTGCCTGGCGTTAGCCAGCGATCCGACTTTATATGAAAAGGAGGATGCCCGGCGTAGCCGGGCATTTCATAAGAAGGAGGAGAGCCCGGCGTTAGCTGGGCGATCCGACTGGTAAATATAGAATATAATTACTAGATTAACTATGGTAAATACCAAAGTACACCACCTCAAATTATAATAAATAAATTCAGAATGTGAAGATAGGGCGAACGAACATGGCCGGAGCAAATGTGTCGAGTTGAAAGTTCTGTGCACCTAGAATAGTCGTTTTGAGAAGTCGATTTAGGCCCGCACTTTCAATGGATCAAACCTTCAACGTCATGAGGCCAGAAAAGATCAGCTTCATACGAGAAATAAAGGGTTTTGGCACTTTGTCCCAGTTTTGCAGTCAGAAAATCAGCTGCCAGTTTGAATTCTTCCGAGAAGACGATGAGCACCTGAAACAAGTGCTAATGCTCACTGTTCATTTGTTGATTAGAGAAATGCGATAGCTAGTGACACATTTCTCCCAACAGATAACTCTTTGGAAATTACGTACCTTTTGAAGACCAACTTCATGTAATACTGCCAGCAGCGCACTGGCTAGGCCTCTTTGCAAGTCTGGAACCATAGCTATCGTGTTCGCTTCTCTGCTTTCGGAAGATCGAACACTTGTGGATATATACGGTACACCCCACCGAAATGCCAGTCGAGAAACTGTCTCCGACTCTGAATTGAACTTCGTTTTCGATTTGCTGCTTCTCTACCTCATTGTCTTGAACTTCCTATACTTTCTTTACTGTTCGTTCACCATTATTTTTTAGCTTTTCTGAAGCTCCTAGCAAACAATCAAATAAAGGGTTACTAAATTGGTAAGAAGGTCAAGTATGTAATGATAATGCTTCTCTCCAATGCGAGAGTATGGCCGGTCAGAGATGATCGCCTATTGCTTCACAGTCATAGTGTAAATAAATACTGAACAAGCTCATGCGGTTAATTGAGCTGCTCACCTGATGCTAAGCTGTAGTTGAGAAAAATGCCAAATTTAAGTTCCATTCAAACTAGAACCTATCACAGCATTTGTCAGGATCCAAGGGATCCAAGGGACGATGTGTTAGCGTGGAGAGTAGCAGTGCGATAGATTAAAGTCGCCATATGGACGAAAGCCTCGGTTTTTGGGTGTGCTTGCGTCGGAATCTTGATAAGGTATAGCTCTTGTTCGGTTTGGTTCTGAAGAGCTTATGGGAGAAGATTTATTCCCCAGTTTGTATGAACTATCCAGTAGTTTATTGATTAGATCTTTCAACTTATTCTATCTAATTCTTGAGGGTTGCATGGTTACAGTTAGCAGAAAGCAAGAAGTGCTAATCAGGCAATACACTGTTAGATGATTCGCTTCTGCTGAAACAACTTTTGCGATGTATCATATAATGCATACGAACTAAATGAATAATTATTACGTAAGCAAAATACGAAAGTCCGTTCGCATTAGAGCTGGTGTTATATTTATCGACACGGAAATTATTTCCCGAAAATGCACTGTATTGAAACCGAATTATAATTATTGAAGGCTATGCTTCTTCTGGCATTGAGTTTCACCACCAACAAAAATTCTCTCTTCAATAAAAAACCAAAATAAAATGCTCTAAACAAAAATCCATCTACCTTTGTCACAAGGAGCTCCTATGAAAGCATCAGCTCGATTGGTGAAGTGTAATCTGATAAGATTATCAACACCATTGAAACTGTGACATGCAGGAATAGTTATGATCCTGAATTTAAATCTTTATAAACTTTTGATAAATGGTTTCGGGTGTAGTGAATTGGGTGTTTTCTAAGCCTCATCCTCGCGACGACTGACGCGCGCGAATCTTTGCTAGCTGCCTCACGGAAAAGGTAGAATCGCGCTATCACCCATCATATCTCTTGAAATTCTTTGATGCATTTGTTAACTTCTGAATCCGTGTAGTTGTACTTGAGCAACTTCAAAATGCGTGAAGAGGACTAGTTCGCATTGGAAAAACTAAGTCTCCTTTCCCAGTATTCTGAAGTTACATTGCATCTTCAAAGACCGCTGGAACTTCCTCCAAATTTACTGAACTACACTCTTTAAACATGGTATATTTCTTTCAAACAATGCCTGCCTGATGTCTTTTTTTCAACTAAGGCAATACTACCTCGCCAATGTACTCACGGTAAAGGGTTCACTGGGGAAATGGAAAGTCCTCAAGCCTATTGTAAGGAGAAATTTGATACGCAAAATAGTAGTCAGAAGACTTCAGAGCTTTATTCTGAAGGGGAGATATGAGTGTTATGAAACAAATTCTGAGTGCTCAGTATAAACCCCAATACAGGTACGCTCCCTTTATTTGAAATTTGATGAGAACCATGATTCACACCAAGTCAAATGAACATGCTACAGCTCAAGGGCAAGCTCCCCTTGCACAACTCATGGAATGGAGTGCGGAACCAGAATTACTCAAACTTCGCTGTAATCGTTCTTCCAATGATGCCTGAATGTCCGCACAGAATTTTTTTTACCATACTGAACAAAACTAATGGTGGTTTGGGTGCTATAATTCAATCAAAAAGTTCGCAGGTCAAATCAAATTTCGGAAGTAAACTCACTTGAGAGAGGTATTTTTGATGCACTCAGTCAGCAATGATTTCTCCTCGTCGCCACTGCTCAGCAGGCCTACTCTTAATGTAGCGGAAACCTTCAAGACAGAAAAGACGATCAGAAGTAATCGGAACATATCTTCACATATGCGTCACTGTAGAGGAGTCGGGAGGCTTTCAGGGTCCGAAGTGTGCCTCATATGAAAAGACGGGCCCTTCTTTTTACTCTACTGCACTTTATATCCTGTTTTGATGCATTATTGAGCAGTTTCAAGCACGCCATCGAAAGTGAGAATCTCTTGAAATTATACCTGCGGTTCGTTTCGAGGACTTCACAGCGAGGATGAGAACTTGAATTTCGAACAGTTGCACTCGAGCTTGAGTAAGGTCAACACTGGCATGGATGATTAGAGAGGGGAACGGAATAGTTCACCAAAACCTTTTCGAAACCATTACGCATTTGAAGGTAGCAGTTTGTATCCCGAGTTCCATGACAAGCAGCGGTTATTTTGCGTGAGCCACGAATCTTCGAATCTTAGACTGGAACTTCAAACCTTCTCCTTAACAGCTGCCTGCGATTGGGTACGGTGAGCGTGGCACGAAGTTTGGGTTCAAGATGTATGACCGTGCTCTTTCTTAGGTACGAGCTTTTGACCGACTATTATTTGTTGTCTTTTCCAATTCAGCCTGTTCTCAGTATTTTTTGTGTAAGAGGCAAAGAAATTAGCAAAACATACAGCTACACCCTTAAAATATCCTACTTATATAATCGGCTAAGTGTGTCTGTTGGTGCTTTGTGTGTGTGTATGTATGTGTGTGTGTATGTGTGTGTGTCTGACCGGAAATTCACAAC